GCGGACGGAATCCGACCCCCGCAGTCCTCACACGCCTCCCTGGCTGGCGGGCCGGTCTTGGCGGCGCCCTCCTATGTCCAGGCTGAGGCGCCGGCCGGAGGAGAGCCCGGGAGACGAGCGCGGAGGTCGCCGAGGCGTGGGTCACTGGCCCCGAGCGCCAGCATCCGGGCTTGGCGACCCTTCCCAAGGGCGCGCAGCCTTTGTTCTCTCACCAGCAGCGTCTTCATCTCACTCCCACGGAAACCCCCGTCGTTTTGCCAACCTGGGGTTTGTAGAGAGTTCAAGATTGAAATCTGACGGCCCCGTTAAAATGTGCCGGTCGGGCCTCGCTGACCGGTTTAGGCTGACTACCAACAGTATACTGAGTTGCTGATATTCTAGGGGAATGGTTAAAGTTCTTTTCTTTTTCTCTCTTGGTTTACAGGCAACATAATATTCGCACGGGAGTGTTGCGGATTGTAATGATTATTACGTTAGTAGATTATCTGACATTTTAATGGACATCATGGTGTCCAGAATCCTTATCCCCGCCCCCAACGCAGACTCGCCCTCCTCACCATCACCAAGTTGGTTTCTAATTGGAGCTGTAGGTGACAAGAAAAGGGGGGGGAAGTGTGCTTTTGAATGGGATGTTTTCACTTGACCAAGGCTTCCAGTCTTCCAGAAAAAAATGTTTTCATTCCGTATACAGGTGACGATGAGATAAAATACAAAGTGAAGGGGGCCGCAGGTGGTGTAATGGTTAGGGTCGTAGACTCGCTTATGGCCTACGTGGTTCCAATCCTAAATCCAGGGTCTTGAAATAATTCATCTGAGTATGCTTGAGCACCCTTTCAAAGTCCCTGGAGGAGAATGGAGAAGGGGTTGCGACAGACCATCCCCTCTGGGGGGTGATTTCTCACTTTCCCTTTCTCTCTCTCTGGCAAGCAAGGAAAGAAAGAAATGTAGCCTGGAGTGATCTGGGTGTTCAGTCCTTTCTCTTCATCCTCATTTCAGCTCCTCTCACCTTAGCTTTTCACACTTTCCCTTCCTTATTCTAGTTTCGCATGGCATGTTAAATTTTGTTACTATTCAGTGCTAAATTGTGAACTCATTCTTATGACCATATATTAGCAGTGTGTTAAACAAAATAGGCATCGAATAAGCGAGCATGGACCAAATGAACTGAGTGTATCTAAAGAAAGCAGGTTTTTTAATTGTCATATCATGAAGCTATAATTTAAGCATTAACAGTGACCATAACTATAATAGTTGT